TTTTTTTTCGGGGGGGGGTAGAAATGCTCCAGTCTATTCGTGGGGAGCAGCACGTGGTGGGAATGGGGCCCAACGTCCCATATAGAAGTACACAAGTCATTTGAGATACTGGGGCCATTACCCGGCTTCGGCTGAGAATCAATCTGAGAACTAATGAGAACTCTTAAAGAAGTTCAAGGGAATTAAAAAGAGGTTGAAAAACTATGAATGACTACTGACCTCTTTTTAAATGCTCAGAACCCCTAGACTCCCAAACAAACTCTCTGAAACTGTCCAACACTGTCTTATTCCCTGTCGGGCTCTCCCAGGCCTCACACTCCCACTCGGCTAGGTTATAGAGTAACACGGCTCGCCCCAGCTCCGGCCAGTGTCGTCCCAGCAGCAACCCTTGATTATCCCTTGGAATGCCCACCCCAAAGCATCCCCAGATCACTCTACCAGGCCTCACGCTCCTGCAATCAGCAGGTTACAGGGCAACACCCCAGCACCGGCCAGCATCGTTCTAGCATCGAGCAACCGCAAATCCATGAATGTACCAGTATCAAACAGCCTCAACTGAGTTGCTAGAAGTCCCCAGAATTCTAAAGCATTCTATTTTGTTTTTTTTTTAGAGCACATGCAGAAAAAAATTTTGAGATACCGGGACTTGAACCCGCTTTGTTTGAAAAATCATGAGCAATTGTGCGCTGAGGAAAAATTTTATAATCAGATACCGCCATCACTAAGGTCCTATAAACGCTCAAAACCCTCGAAATCCCTAGGAAATCCTTCTAAAAATCTCCAACACTGTCTTACTCCCTGCCGAGCTCTTCCAGATTTCGCACTCCCACCCACAGGGCAACACGACTCACCTCAGCTCCAACCAACGTCATCCCAACAGTAACCCTTCGTTGTCCCATGAAATGCCCACCCCAAAGCATTCCCACATCTCTCTACCAGGGCTCACACTCCTTTTTTCTTTTTTTTTTTGTGAACGCCCTTTTCCAAGCCCTCTATCTCAGTGGCGGTAAGAGAGCCGCCGGGATTGAAGGCTTGTTCCTTGGGCTGCTCCATCTATTGGTGGGGAACGTCACCTGCTGGAAACGGGGTCCAGCGTCCCTTAAAACATAGTTACAATCACTAAGGTCATGGTCTTTTGAAGTAGTCCTTGGAGCTGTGTATTCCCTAAGGGCTGCTCATATTACCCTCCCTTCCCTTTTCAGCTCACTCTCATTTGCTCGACCAAGCCCTATTCCCTGGTGGTATGATCTCGCATTGCGACCTGAATTCCCATTCCCTTCACGTCAACCGTATCCCTGGGACCTGCAGCCCTTCCCTAATTAACACTTAGCCAATTGAACCTAGGTCTAGTCTACTCATGTTGCATAAAAAAATTATCGCATGGAAGGGATGCCTCTTTCTGCGGGGTGGGCCGCCTCTATTGGTCTCGATTGTATGACGCATTCCTTTATTGCTGCCTAATCTACTCATGTTGCATAAAAAAATTAGCACATGGGAGGGATGCCTCTTTCGGCGGGGTAGGCCGCCTCTATTGATCTCAATCATATGACGCATTCCTTTATTGTTGCCTTAATGTCCTGGTTGTACTCACACATTGTCTGCTGACTATTTGCTCCCGTAACCCCCAACCTGTGTTGGGATTAGCGCTGTAGGGACAGTGCCTTTTGTGCGCCTTGACGAGACCTCCTCCAATGCAAGCCCACATGTGTTGCTGTGTGCTGTCTGTGGGGACAGTGCCTTCTGTGCGCCTTGACGAGACTTCCTCCGATGCAAGCCCACATGTATTGCTGTGTGCTGTCTCCAGCCTCCCTCTCCATTCTTTGTAACTCCTATAGATAGTTCTCCAGCAGTCAGGCAAGATTCCACTCCTCCGCCTCAGGCCTGAGATGTCGCTTTCTTTTGTTGCTGCCTCAGTGTTGAGGTAGCACTCCCGCCCTGTCTGCATATCAGCAGGTTTCAAGGCAACACCCCCGTACTGGCCAGCGTCGTTCTGGCATCGGACAGCCGCAGATCACTGAGTATAACAGTAATGAAGCTTCCTAAAATGAGTTGCTAGGGGCCCCGAGAATCATAAAACAATTGTAAGACCATAATTTTTCAAGATTTGATCACGGAAATATTCGAACGGAACGTCTCTCTCCTATACCCCGATATCCAATCTCTACCAGGCCTCCCAACCCCAACTGCTAGATTACAGAGTCGCATGACCCACCCCAAAAATCCCCCCACCTGCAAGGTTACAAGGAAAAATGACACGCCCCGGCTCAAGTATCAGTTTGCCAATAGACACTAGAGTGTCTTCCACCCTCGACAACTCCCCAGATCTCCCTACCAGGTCTCTTGTTCCCGTACCGCTTGGGTTACAGGGCAGCGCGACCAAGCCCAAGCACCGACCAACGTTGTTCTGACCTCATTCATTCACGAACCACTGGGACCAAAGACATCAACAGATACTAGACAAGCCATCAATCATCGCCACGACTGTAATCCTGATGATCCTTTTTTTCAAGCACTAGCTTCAACATCCAATGAAAACTTCTCAACCTTACTACAACAAGACTTACTGCGGTAAAGTCAGATGTTTCAATTTTGAAGCATACATGTTTTGAAACGTTCACTATTTTTCAATTTTGTGAAGACTTCTTGATTTTCAATTTCCTCAAAGTTTTTCTCGATTTTCTGTTCCCTGAACAAAAAAACATTATGAGTGTTCACCCAGCGAAAACAAATTAACGAGTGTTCACTTGATTGATTTTTTTTCATGAACCGAAAAGTGTTCGAAACGTCAATAATTTTCATTTGTCCGAAAACTCCTTCAATTTTACTTACCCGAAGACTTCTTTGATTTTCACTAGGTCTGATAAGGCTGCACCCTTTCCACCTGGTGGAAACAAATTTCATGAATGGAAATTACTTCAAAAAATTATCTATTTTTCAATTGTATGAAGACTTTCTGACTTTCACATACTTAAAAAAATATTTTTTATTTTATTTTCACCTACTAAAACTTTGTTTTCAGGGTGTTCAGATGCTTCACCACTTCATGATGGTTCGGATTTCCAAACAGGTTGCTTTCAGAGTGTTCGGACCATTCACCACTTCAGGATGGTTCGCAATTTTCAGACTGCCTAAATAGGTTGCTTTCGACATGTTCATTGTTCACCACTTCAGGATGATTCAGAATTTTCAAATTGCTTATCATAACAACTGTTGAGGCAGTTTGAAAATCCCGAACAATCCATAAATACCCTGAAAACAACCTATGTAGGCGACATGAAATGCATGAACAATCCTGATATGGTGAAGGGTCTAAAACACCCTGAAAACATTCTATCTTGGCCACTGTTTACGCAGTCCAAAAATCTCGAACAATCCTGAAGGGGTTTGAACACTCTGAAAACGAATCGTTTAGACAGTTTGAAAATCCCGAATAACCCTGTAGTATTGAAGGGTTTATGCACCCTGAAAACAACCTTCAATTTTTTTTTTTTTTCAATTTTCATTTTGTGAAATATTGTTTTCAGGGCGTTCAAACCCTTCACTACTTTAGGATGGTTCGATATTTTCAGATTGCCTAATTAGGGTGTTGACACCCTTCCCCACTTCAGGATGATCCGGGATTTTTTAATTGTCCATCGTGACAGTTATTTAGACAGTTTGAAAATCCCGAACAATCTTCAAATGGTGAATAGTCTAAACACTATGAAAACAACTTGTTTAGGCAACATGAAATTTCTGAACGATCCTGAAATTGTGAATGATCTGAACATCCTGAAAACAACCTAACTTACCAACTGCTTAGGCAATCTGAAAATCCTGAAAGGTCCTGAAGTGGTGAAGGGTCTGAACACTCTGAAAACAATTTGTTTAGGCAGTCTGAAAATACCGAACAATGTTGAAGTGGTGAAGGGTTTGTGGACACCCTGAAAACAATACATCTTAGCAAACCACTTAGGCAGTCTGAAAATTTCGAACAGTCCTGAAATGGTGAAGGGTCTGAACACCCTAAAAGCAATCTGTTTAGAGAGACTGAAAATCTCAAACAAGCCTGAAGTGATGAAGGGTCTGAACACCATGAAAACAATTTATCTTGACAACTGTTTAGACCCTCTCAAAACCCCAAACTATCCCGAATTCGTAGACGGTCTGAACATCATGAAAACAACATGTTAAGGCAGACTAAAAATGTCACACAATCTTGAAGTGGTGAAGGGATACACCCTGAAAACAATTTGTCTTGGCAACTATTTAGATAGTCTGAAAATCCCGAACAACCTCGAAGTGGTGAAGGGTCTGAACACCCTGAAAACAACATGTTTAGGCAACCCGAAAATCCCGAACAATCCTGAAGTGATGAGGGATCTGAACAATGTCACCCTGAAAAGAATTTATCTTCACAACTGTTTAGGTAATCTGGAAATCCCGAACAGTGCTGAAATGGTGAAGGGTTTGAACACCCTGAAAGCAACATGTTAACACAGACTGAAAATTCTAAAAACACATAAAAATTATGTATGATGAAAAATATAGATGTTCACCTTCTCTCGAAAAAAATAGAGTAGAACCGTTTCATGTCGAATGAATTTGGACGCTTTTGTAGTGGTCCGTACATTTCCTAAAATCGTGGTTTGTTAACGGGCACGACGTTGGGAAGTAACCAACGAGCCACAATTTTAGGAAATGCATGGGCCACCACAGGAGCGCTCAAATGCATCCGACTAGAAAACGTTTTACTCTTATTTTTTTTCCCGTGACCAATAGCTAAGCCAAGTACTGGTGGTTCAAGTAACAATTTTTTTTCGCAATGCAGTCCAAGCTGTAAGTCTGAAATTTTGAATTAGAGCTCGCCCAACTGGGTGAAAACCAGCCATTGTGGAAAACATTTGCTTCGCATACTTGTAGACTAGAGCAAAAACTATACCCATAAATAAAGCTCGCATAAGAAGAAGAAGGGAAAAAAAAAAAAAAAAAAAAAATTGCTCGCATCGACACCAAATAGTTGGCAAGTACATACAAGATTTGAGGCTTAAAAAAAAAAAAAAAAAGGATTTAGGGTATAGAACCCCGGAGGGTTTAGACTCTATAGAGTTTATACGAACAACACACGTATTGCAATGTCCGTCAACAAGATAAGACACATAGGGCCTTGTCCCACCACATGCCAATGCCCAATTTGGTGACCACCTCATCACTCGACACCATGCACGTGTGTGTGTTTGATATATTACACAACTCCAGAAAGAAAAGCACGAAGCTTCTACGCTGTTTCGTTGAACTTTCACTGACTCATCAGGAGGTTTGAACCCCGACGGTCTGTCCG